CGCCCCCCCCCCCTCCCCCTTCACCCCCTTCGGCTCCCCCCTCGCTGCTTTCCTCCAGCAAGTACGATTACCAGCCTGCCGGCAGGCCAGATCTTTGGCTTGCCCAGTGGGATCTCTTAATTTCCGCCGGCCACTGTGTGCTCCACGGATCCAGCCGCCTGCTTGCCCTCCCTGCCTACCTCGGATTAACCCCCCCCCCCCTCCCCCTCTGCCCCCTTCCTGTGGTGGCTCTCGCTGCTCTCTTTCCTGCACAGGGCTCCCATCTTCCCGCTGTTCTTCGTGCCGCAGCCGCCGCCGCCACCACTGCTCTCTCCCCCTCCCCCCTCCCCGTGTGCCCTCTTATGGGCCCCCAATCGGCGGCCCTGGCAGCGTGATCCGGATCCTCCCCCTCCCCCCCCCCCCCCCCCCCATGCCGGCCCCCTGTTGACCCCACCCCGCCCGTGAAGATGACCCCCCGCCCCCTCTCTCCCCTCCACACGCTGTCCCACTTGCCAAGACCCCACCATGATCGCGCCCCAGGGCCCTCTCTAACACGCGCTCTCCTCACTCTCCACCTTCGGCCAACGATCCGGGCGACTGGCTGTCGGCCCCCCCCGCCACCGCATCCATAGCCTGACGGCTTTGGCTTCACACCTTTCTCCTCGTCCCTTTCAGGTGCTGTGCACCTCCGCCTTTCACATCGGACAAGGAGCCATGACAAACGGCCCCTGCTCCGACCTCCCCAGGGCCCCGGTCGCACGCCGAGGCCAAACCCCGGCCGCCAGTGCGCCCACCTCCCCGGTATCCCCCAGCTCGAGCCCCCTGCGGATGGGCACCGATGCCGGCGATGTGCCCTCGGTCGTGGCACCGCACGCCGCCCCCAGCACCAGCCCCTTCGAAGGATCATCAATATACCACCTGTACCAGGGGGCCCAGAGCAATTCTCCCGGGACCTTCTCCGAGCGCCTGGCTCCCACGGCCACGACCTGCGCCGCGTGCCGGATCCCCTTTGCCCCGTCCGATCGCCAGGCCATGTCCTGCAATAGTACGCTCGGCATCCTGGCCGCGCTTCCTCCCCTCGCGCGAGCCTTTCCCCGCCTCGCCTCGCCTCAACTCCTTGACCTTCGGGCATGCCCTTCTGCAGCTGCTGACGCCCATATGCTTGTGACAGATTGCTTCAAGAGCTACCATCCCCACTGTGTGCCGATGCGCAACCAGCACATGGTCTGCTTCTGCCAATCCCCCTCCGCCTCCTCGAGTGTCACCTCCTTCGGGTCCAGTGGCCCGTATGCCAATCCGGAGCAGGATGACCTGCCGTCGCTCACTGGTGCGCTGGCCTCCTGTGCCCTGCCTGTGTCCCTGCCCTCGTCCCCTCCGCCCCCACACCTGCACGTCTCAGGCCTGCGCACTTCCTTTGGTCGGGGTACCTACTTACACTCCCTGGCTTCTCTCTCTCTCTGTTGGGCATATCTCCCCCCTGCTTCAGAGTCCGTCGACTACACCTCCTCTGAGGGTGCCCTGTCGCGCTCGCAGTCACAGAAGACCAAGTCGCCGAAGCGGCGCCGGCCGCGCGCATCGAGCTCCGCCTCGATGCTTCCCTTCGGCGGGGGAGCTGCCTCGTCCGAGCCGCCATTGGCCCTCTTTGGACACTTGCTGGTCCCTGTGCGGTACGCATGCCCTTCGTCGCGGTGGCTTTCCCCTTCTCTGTGTACCACACACACACACGAGGGCGCCAGAGTGGGTGCCAGGTTCTTGCTGTATAAGCGTGTTTGCGAGAAAGAATTGAAGTCCCCACGTGTTGGCCGGGGGGGGGGGGGGGGGGGCGAAGGGGGGCGGGGATCATAGGACCCGACCACGGATGGGCGAAGGGGCCCAGGCACAGGCCCGGGCAAGAGCAATGGACCGGGGCGCGGATTCCAGGCAAATGCGCGACCAAGAGTCCATGCGTGCCGCTGACCACCGTCACCTGGGGGGATGGGGGAAAAAAAAACACGGACAACAACACCAACAGGAACAATCCTCTGCCAGGCGGGTCCAGTTGCGAGGTCTGCTCCACTTCCATGTTCAGTCTCAAGCGAACCGGCTACAAATGCCAAAGTATGTTTCCCACTTCCTGCCTCGTGCCCGCTGCTGCTGCTGCTGCTGCTGCTGCTTTTGTCATGTGTCTGTCTCTCGGACAAGAATCTAACCACTGGCGGGGGGTGCGGAAAAAAAACCCACAACAACAACGGACAAACATCAACAGCCTGCAAAATCCGCGTCCATGTGAGCTGCTCGCAGAAGCTTCCCCCCTGCTCTTCGTCTGGCGCCTTTGGTATGGTTGCTTTCTGCGCCAGCTCATCCTGCATCTGCCATCCAGCTTGACTCTTCGCCGGGAGCACGCCGCCGCTCTCCGCCCTCCTGCCTCGCCGTTGCCCTCCCTCTAACATGTGCTCCCCCCCCCCTCTCCCTCCCCTCCGGCCCTGACTCCGTCTGGCCGATATAGCCGGCGGGAGGGCAGCCACTACGCCGACTGCCTCGGCCGGTGCCTCGGGCATCGGCGGCCGGACAGCCACGGCCTCCTGCTCGACCGGGGCCGGCGGCCTCAATTCCGACTCCAGCCTCTCGGCAACATCGCTCTTCCTGGCGGGATCCGACCATCCAAGCAAGGAGTCGGTGGCCAGCTTCGCCGATCACGACCTTCCCCGCAAGCGGAATGACCTCTCGCGGAATAGCAGCCTCGGGGAGGACACTTCGCCCGAGGACGCCCCGCCATCCAACTATCGGGGCCACCGGAATTCGACGGCCATCCGCTTTACGCGTTTGATTCGCCTGCCTCCGCACCATTTTGAGGTATGGGCCCGGCCGTCCTCCATGTCTCCCTCTCCCTTTCACACACACACACACACACACACATGCACAAACGCAAACCCATTTGGTTCCCACGCTCTCCGGCACTTGGAGGGCAGCAAGGCAGGCTTGGCACCATGCCGGCTGTCCTGGGCCCGACTCCCGGTGGTCCTTACTCACGCACGCCTTCATCCCCGATTGCTGCCCTGTCGCACAGCGGCCCCGGGAAAATATCTACCTCAACGCATTGATCCGCACGACACTGGCCGTCGGCGCCCCGGAGGCCCTGCTGACCGCCATGCCGACGGTTTCCATCCCGGCCACCCTGCGCATGATCCAGCTGCAGGGCTCAGTGGTGGCAGGCGAGGACTCGGGCCCCTGTGACGCCACAGCCGGAGGCTTGGGCCCGGGCATGGGCTGGGCCGATGCCATCGGCCCACCGGCCGGGGCTCTGGGCGATGCCCCTGCCGACATGGAGACCACTGGCGGTCTGGCACCGCCGGCCGGGCTCGGATCCGCCGGCAAGCCGGCCTCCTTCCCGCCATGTGCCCCGGCCGGCGCCGGGCCCGGCGGCCCCTCCAATGCCAGTGTCCTCAACACCACAACCACCGCCGGCGGGGGGCCGGGCGTGTCCGGGGCAGGCACTCTGCCCGGCACCACGGGCTGGATGCTGTCCCGGCAATCATCCGGCTGGGAGCCACTCACCCTGACCAGTCGAACCCCGAGCAAGGCATCCCTCGATCGGCCGGATTTGTTGGCCCGATCGCGCTCGAACTTGTCCTCCTCCTCCTCCTCCTCCTCCTCCTCGTCATCTTCCTCCCATTCGTCTAGCAGCGATTCCAGCGGAGCCCCAAGCCCAGTCCCCGGGCCGGCACGGCCACTGGACCCATCGTCCGGGTCCGGCTCGCCGGGTCCCATGGGGGCTGGCACCACCACCGCCGCTGCCGCCGCCGCCGCTGCTCGCTGGCTGCCTACTCTGGCCTGGACGCCGGACGACCAAGCAGCCGCGGCGGGGGCCGTCTCGACGGTCGGTCGCCCGGCCGGCTTCTCATCGCCCATTGACGAACTCGCGGCTGGCGGGCGCCTCGGCAGCCACAACAACAGCAGCAACAACAACAACAACGGCGGCGGCGGCGGCGGCGGCAGTGGCACCGCCATCGGCAACATCCAGGCCCATCCCGGGCGCCGGGGCAGTTCCCCCCTTGGCCCGGGGCCTGTGCATGCAGATTCGACGGATGACCTGCCGGGGCTGTCGCAAATTGCCCCTGGCACCGGGAGCGAGTCGCCCCTTGCTGCCCCTGCAGGGGGACCGGGCCTGGAGTCCGGCTCGTCCCCCTACCTGAACCGGGCACCGCGGGAAGTCCGCGCGGGCAGTGACTCCCGGCTGGCTCTGTGCTCTGGCGGTCTGGCCGGTCCTGTCATCGGGCCGGGGGACCTCTTCCTGACGAAGGCCCACTCGACCGGGCCGGAGATTGTCGCATCTTCCGACCGGTGCCCCGGGTCGCCGCCCTTCCGTCCGGCCACGGCTCCGCCCCTGGCTCCGCCGGCCGGGCTGCTGGACATGCCGCAGCGTTGCTCCCCCTCGATGTTCTACCAGCAGGCGCTGCCGGCGCCCTGCCATTCGGATGCAGGCTCCCTGGTGAACATGGAGCATCCCACCACGAGCGAGCTGCTGGATGGCATTTACCCGCATGCCGCATCGGCCAGCCCTCGCGTGGACACCTCGGTCGAGTCGACCACCGACAGTGAGGAGTCCACCCTGGTGGCCTGCTTCATGCAGGGGACCACCTCGGTGTCCGTGCGCGGGCTCTACTCCCTGGCCGAGGCGACCGACACCACCGACGAACTGGAGGACCCCTTTGCCGGGGTCCAGCGCGACCTGCCGGGCGCCTGGGCCGCCAGCGCCATCAGCACCGGCACCGGCACCGGCACCGGCACCGGCACCGGCATCGGCATCGGCACCGGCCCGGGAGGAGCCAGTGGGCTTGGCACCCTCCCCGGGGGGGGAGCCACCGCCGGTCATCGGGCAGCTCCGGCCGGGCCGCTTCGTGCGCCGTCCGGCCTGTCTGACCCGGGGCCTGGCAGTGCATCCGGCCCGTCGGCCGGCCTCGTGGCCAGCCTGGCGGCCACCGCCACCACCACCAGTCCCACGCCCGGCGTCAAGTCCGAGCCGCCCAAGACCAGTGCCGGGGCCAAGTTGCGCCTGCGCAGCAATAGCATCAGTCGCTTCTTGGGCATCGGTGGCGGGAGCAGCAGCAGCAGCAGCAGCAGCGGCGGCGGCGGCGGCACCGGCACCGGCACCGGCAGTGCCAGCAACAGCCAGGCCAATTCCCCCACCACGGCCGCCGCGGCCTCCGGGCCGGCAGGCAAAACCGGCATCAAGGCCGCCTCGCGCCTCGGCATGACCACCAGCAAGTCAGTGAGTGCCGCCTCGGGGGAGACCTTCGAACAGGCCTCCGCCTCGGGCGACATGCCTGGTCGCTCGCAAGCCCCCTCCCCGGGGGAGGTGGGCTACGCCACTTCCGGCGGTGGGCTCCAGTCTCCCGGGGCCGGGGGCCCGGCCGGCTCCGCGGGTGGCAGTGTGGCCGAAAAGCGCCCCGGTCTCTTTGCCAGCTTCCTCTCCGGCGGAAAGTCCCCGAAGACCGTGGTGACGACTCCCTCCCCCGGGCACCACTATGGCAGCCCGTCGCCGGCGGCCGCCTCAACGCCAAACACTGAGGCCATGTCCGGCGCGGTGACGGCACGCGTGTCGCGCGAGAACTCCGCCCGCGACACCGCCGGCCTGGTGGCCAGCCCCGGCTCCGAGACCGAGGCCGTGGTGGATGTACGTGATTGCCCGTCGTGGGCTTCCTCATTTTTGTGTCACCCCCTCCAACCCATCTTGCTGACATTGCCCCCTCTCCCTCCTCGCACAACCTGCCTGTGCATGTGCGCCTGCACCCACCCACACCCACACACACACACAAACACAAACAGATCCACCCCCCGGGTGCGGGCTCGGCACGGAGCTCGAGCGAGGGGAGCCTGGTTGGCCATTGTCACCCACATCACCACCCCTCCCATCACCACGGCTTTCACGGCATGGTCGATGGGGATTCCCTGCAATCGGTGAAGGCCGGCCACAAGCGTCTCAGCTCCTTCCCGGACAATGATCTGGTTCGCCGCCTGGACGATGAGCTGATCGAGCACGTTCCCCCGAAGCAGCCGCAGCAGGCCTCCCCCTTGCAGAAAAACACCAATCAGCCCTTCTTGGCCCCGGCCTCCGGCGAGGAGACCCTCTATGTACAGGAGGCCGAGTTTGCCCTCTCCAGCACAGAGGGCCCCACCGCCTTGAACGATCCCCAGGCCCAGGCCCATGCGCAGCTCCAGCACTTCCAACAGCAGCAACTCCAACAGCAGCAGCAGCAGCAGCAGCAGGCGCAGATGCATCAGCTCCAGATGCAGCAGCTTCACCAGCAGCAGGCGGCCCAGTATCAGCAGCAAATGCACCAGCAGATGCAGCAGCGCTCCGGGCCTGGCGGCATGGCCACCTCCACCGCCGCCGCCGGGGGGCCCCTCCTTTCGCCCCATCATTTCGCCGGCATGCATCCGACCGAACACCACATGCTGCCGTCCCACCACCTGCAGGCCGCGCAGCAGGCCCACTTCCAGCACCTGGCCGTGGCGGCGGCCACCGCCGCCGGGGGAGGCGGCTTGCGCTTCCACCCGCAGCACCATCTCCTAGACTCAGCCCACCTGGCCGCCCTGCAGCAACAGCAGCAGCAGCAGCAGCAGCAGCAGCAGCAGCAGGCAGCCTCCCTGGGGCATGCCTACTTTGTCAGCTCCAATGATGCCCTGGCACACTTGGCCGGTACCGGGTCCGACTCGCCGCACCTGATGCCGGGCTCGCCGCCAGCCGCCGGGGTCCTGGCCGGCGCCAATCTCCATGGTAGCAGTTACACCTGGAGTGGCGGGTCATCGGGGTTCCTGGCGGCGGCGGCGGCCGCCGCCGCGGCGGCCTCCGCAGCCAATGGCACCGGCGGTGCCGTGCACCCGGGCCTCAACGGTGCCGGGCCTGCTCCCAGTGCCACGGCCAACATCCCCGGCTACTATTCCCCCTCCTCCGGCTTGCCGGGCCACTATGCTCCCCCGGGGCACCATTCCAATGGCGGGTCCCTCTCCCACCCGCAGGTTATGTCGCTGCAGTCGCCGGCGCACTCGGGCCACTCGCAATCCATGCCCTCCCTGGTGGTGGCTGGGGCCGGTGGCGGGGCCACGGCATCGCCCTTCATGGGCCCCGGGCCCAATGGCGCCAGTGCCGTGTCGGCGATCGACCGCTCGGTGCCGGTCCTGTCGCCCACCTGGCAGCGGCCATCCAGCGGCTCTGCCTCCAGTGGGAATCTCCCGGGCCAGGCGCCGGGGTTTGCGGCACTGGCCGCGGCGGCGGCGGCGGCCCAGGCGGCCGGCTCGTCGCCCCACGTCGGGGCCCTGGGCGGGTCGTCTGCCGGGCATCTGGCCAGTGGCGGCCGGTCACAGTCGGCCTCCTCGCTGGCCGCAGTGGCCACGGCGGCCGGCGCAAAGCACCCCACCCCGGGCCCGGAGCTGCCGCCCTCCATCGCCAACTTCATTCCCCTCGGGGGTGGCCCGGTTCGGTCGCCGGCGGCCGGGTCGCCGGCCCTGCCGGCCTGCCTGTCCAACCCCCTGGTCGATGGCCCGGCCGGGGCCTACGGCAATGGCGGGTCCCAGTCATTGACCTTCACCGCGCCCGCGTCCTTCTTCCATGATGCCGGCGAAATGCACACCGCGCACCAGTCGCACTTTACTCGCTCGCCGAAGGACGAGTACCCCGGCAACGGGCTGGTCCTGACCCCCGGGCGCGAGCGCGGGCTGGACCTCATGAACAATCCCTCCCTGCCGCCACGGCCGAGCCGGGCCCCGGAGCATGCGTCCCCGCGGCTGCAGGACAGTTCCTGCATGGCCGGGGCGCAGCAGTCCCAGCAGTACACCTCGCGGTGCTCCTCGCAGGAGGGCGGCATCGGCGGATCGGCCTCCTCCACCCCGGCCGGTGGCGCCGGCGCCGGCGCCGGCCTGCACGATGTGGAATGCATGCGCCAGGCCCTGGTCAGCACGGTCAACCTGCCGGTCGGCGGGTCGACCCTGTACGATTCCGGGCCCCGGTCCGAGGCCTTTGCCGACTTGAGCCCGGATGCGGCCCAGCACCAGCCCCCCCGGCGGAAGTCCGTCGACTCGGCTCTGCACCGGTGTTACGCCGACTCGGCGGCCCAAATGCGCCGGATGGCCGTCGCCGCGGCATCCAATCGGCTGGTCGAGTATGACAGCTCGGCCGCTGTGGATGGCCCCGCCGCCGCTCCCTCGGTCGGTCGCATGGCCAAGCTCACCGAACAAGCCAGCTCCGAGCAGGCAGCCGGCTCTCTGGCCTCCGGGCCCGGCAGTCCTGGTACGCAAACCCCCATCCTTTGGGCCGCCCTCCGCTTGCTTCATTGGCCACGCCAGCACCGCCACCGCCACCGCCACCGCCACCGCCACCACCCCCGCCGCGGATGTTGCTGCTGCTGCTGTTGTTGGCGCCCATGCATCTGGCTCTCGGGTGGTCCCCTGCATGCTGACAAGCCCTCCTTGCATCTCGCACGCACACCTTGCGACCATGCCTTTCCCCTCCCCCCCCCCCCCCCCCCACGCCGCCGCCTGCCGGAATAGATGCCAGCGCTGGGCCCCATGCCTCGAAGGCTCCCACCACGCAGGCCCTCCTCTCGCGACTGGGCTCCGAGGAGGAGCTTCGCGACATGCCTCTGCCCCAGGCGGGCACTCTGCCCGGCGTATCGCGCGGTGGGTCCAATGCCTCGTCCATCAATGACTATGTGGACCCCCTGCTGCCTCCGGGCGACGAGACCCCAGAGCGCTTCACCCTAATCCGCACCAACAGCGGGTCGTCCCTGGTGCAGCACCTCCACCTGTCGACCAACAGCCAGCTGCCGCATCAGCATCACCCGCAGGCGCAGGGGTCGCTCGAGCGCAAGCCCTCCGGCAATTCGGCCTCACCGAGCTCCCCGCGCCTGGCGTCCCTGGGCGGCAGCGGCGGCACCTCGCCCCATGCCCAGTCGCCCAGTTCCTCGCACGGCGGCACCGGCAGCGGCCATGCGTCCCCCCACCGGCCGCAGTCCCCGCGAGCAGTGCCCACCACCGGCGCCGGCAGCACCAGCCCCAGCGGCCACAGCGCCATCCCCCTGCCTCAGCCCATCACCACCCCCTGCTCTGGGGCTGGCAGTCCGGGGCTCCTACCGCGGTCCGGCGCCCCGATGGGCTCCGACCTGTCTCCCCTGTCGGAGGTACGCATTGTTGTGCATGCACATGTGTGCATATGCTTGCCCTGTGTCCGTCCCCCTCTTGGTGGACCGCCGGTGTGACCGCGCCTCGCCCACTGACAGACATCGTGCATCTCCCTCCCCCTCGCTCACCGGCCCGGCCGAAATGAAAAAAAAAAAAAAAAAAAAAAAACAAGCAGCTTGGTAACATGTATGGCCGGGCGCACGGCTCGGTCGAGAGCCCGGTGTCCCCGCACCAGCAGCACCAGTACCAGCCGCACCAGCACTATCTTCAGCACCACCAGCAACCGCAGCAGCACCACCTGGCCGCGCCCTCGCCCTATCCCAGCCGCTCGGGGCCGCATATGCACTCGCAGACGCATCCGTATCCCCTGATGACGGACATGCTGCCGCGGGGGACCGGCCCCGGCCACAGCCCCGGCATGAAGAATGTCCACACCCTGGGGGCCGGCACCGAGACGCTGCCCGGGCGTGCGGCTTGCCCCTCCTCGACCGGGACCCTTCCCGGGCCCTCCTGTGGCACGGGGACCCTCCCCGGGCCGGGTGGGCTCGGCGGGCCGATGCCGGCCGCCACGGGGACCCTCCCCGGGCCGCATATCGGCGGACCGATGGCCCCGGCCGGGACCCTCCCCGGGCCGGGGAACTTCCCTGGCGGGGCGCACTATGCCCCAGCCGGCATGCCGGCACCCGGGCAGCCTGCCACACCCGCCGCGGTGGCTGCCGCCGCCGCCGCCGGGCAGATCCCTCCCCATATGCTGATGATGCAGGGGCGCTTCACCGGCGGCATGACCCCCGGGACCGGGTCCACGGAGTCCCTTCCGGGGACGGTGACGGCCGCGGCGGTTGTCGCGGCTGCGGCCGCCGCCGGCGGCTACTCGCCCACCTACCCGACCATGGAAATGTCCGGCCTGTCGATCCCCGGCACGAACATGAGCGCCTTGCTGAATGCGACGCCGCATGTGCCGCCGGCCCCCGGGGCCGCCAGCGGCCTGACCCGCAGCAGCACCATGTCAAGCATCTCGTCACTGGCTTCCCCGGGCCCGGGCGTCGGTGGCAACCATCCCTACCTCGTGGCAGGAGGCGGGCCCCCGAGCGGCGTTGCGCCCGGTCACTATCACCATCCCCACCAGTATGGGCCACATGCCATGGCCACGGCCGGGGCCCCGCCACCACGCATGGCCATGCACCTTCCGTCGCACCATCACCCGGCCTCGGCTCCGGCGCACATGCTGGCCCACGGCCCAGGACACTATCAGTCCCCGCCGCCGCCGCCGCAGGCCGCCACCCCCGGCGGCCAGGGGGTTTCGCTGCCTGGGTCCCCGCGGCATGGCATGGACCCGCTGGGGGATCTGCCGGCCGGGCCGCCCCCGCCCGCGCCCGCGCCCGCGCCCGCGGCCAATGCAACCGGCGAGTCCGACGTGCAGCGTCTCCTGGGCCAGTCCATGTCAGACTATGAGATCAACCACTCGGTCATCTTGGGCAGGTATGTGACTTGCGTGCTGGGCACTTGGGCTGGGGGCCGCCCTTTGGCCGGGGGGGGGGGGGTGTTTTGGTTCTTCCCTCCCTTTCTCCCCCCTTCTCCCTGTCGCTCGCCCCTTCGTCGACTCACACGGAAACCCCTGTTGGGCCTCTCGGCATCCCCCCCCTCCCCCCGTGGCTTCCTTCGTCTGCCTGAATGTCACTGTCGCCGCTGATGCTGCCATCGCGTGCCGTGGCGGTGGTGTGGAAATCCATGCGTGCGCGTGACACGCCCATGCCACATGCAGTGGTCAATTTGGCGTGGTCAAGCTGGCTCGGCACATCCCGACCAAGACCAACCTCGCGGTCAAGATTGTGGACAAGCGGCGCTTCTGGGGCCGCGGCCGGAGCAAGCGCTCTATGACCAGCATGCGTCAGCTCCAGCGGGAGATCGAGATCCTCGGTGGTGTCCGCCATGTACGTGCTCCGGAGGGAAGAATGCCACCGGGGAAGTGGTGGCCCCCTTCTTCCCTCTTGCCACCTCTCGCCATTTGGGCTTCTCGCAGGCTGACCCCTCGGCTGTCCTTTCCTGCTCTCCAGCCTGGCATTGTTCTCCTTCACGCGGTGTTCGACGACCAGGACTCCATCTACATGTTCATGGAACTGTACGTGCCCCACATTGGCATGTCGTCATGGGGGCGAGGGCAGGAAAGTCAGCCAGACAGGGGGAGTGGGGAAGAAGGCAATCTTGCGGCGGGGGGGGGGGGGGGGTGGCCACCTTGCCGCCTGTGTACTAATATCTCCCTGGCATTGTCCCTCCTACGGGGGAAAAAACAACAACAAAAAAAAAACAGCGTCCCCGGTGGCGATCTTCTGGAGCATGTCGAGAAGAAGGGTGCCCTGGCCGAGGATGAGGCGCGGTTCCTCTTCCACCAGCTGGCCGTGGCTGTCAAGCATCTCCACGATCGCGGGGTCATCCACCGCGACTTGAAGCCGGAGAACCTGCTCCTTTCCAAGGAGGGTGGCCTCTGGCGGCTGAAGATCGCGGACTTCGGCTTCGCCAATGTGGTTGGCAACGGCGCCGGCCGGGCGGCTTTCCTGACCAGCGTCGTCGGCACGCCAGCCTATGTCGGTGCGTGGGGCTCTTTGGCGGGCTTGCCATTATTCGCAAAGTTACAGGGGGAAGAAACAAGCAAGCCTTGCTAACACGCACGCACGCACACACCGCACGCACACGCACACACACACACACACACACACACACACACACACACACA